AGTAGTAGTAGTAGTAGTAGTAGTAGTAGTAGTAGTAGTAGTAGTAGTAGTAGTTGTAGTAGTAGTAGTAGTAGTAGTAGTAGTAGTAGTAGCAGTTTTTACCTGTATAAGTAGTGTGTGTATATAAATATAATATTTGTATTTGGCTTATAAGAAGAAGTATTTATATAGCAGTTAAAGGTTTGCAAAGTTCTTTACAGATATTATCATTTGATCCTTGAAACAATCTTGGGAAAGAGTTGCTATTTCCAAGTGACTAACTTGCCCAGGATCACATAGCTAGTAAATTGCTGAAGTCAAATTTGAACTCAAGCCTAGTGCTCTGTCCACTGTGCCACCTAACTGCCTCATTCCCCAATATTCCATTGGTAGTCTATTCAAACTAGATGTTGCTTTTTGGGTTCTCTGTACTTGGGCAAATCACTTACTACTTGTCTCAGTTTCCTCAACTATAAAATTGGGATAATAATAGCACCTACCTCCCTGGATTGTCATTGGGATGCAATAAGATAATATTTAAATGCTTTGCAAATATTGAAGTACTATATTAATACTTTGGGAAGGGAGGCACATAACTAGCTTCATTTATATTAAGAATTTTAAACATTTTATGTGTGTGTATAATTATACACACACCCACACACTGTATGTGAAATTCTTTATCTAAATATATCATTCAGATCCTAATTTATTTATTTATTTGTAGTGGGATCCAGCTGTTGGAAAGTCACTATGTACTTTTCGAGGCCATGAAGGTGTCATTTATAGCACGATCTGGTCACCCCACATCCCTGGTTGTTTTGCTTCAACCTCAGGTAAATATGTTGATACTTGTTCAAAAGACATCGTTGTAGTGAATGGCTTGCCTTGTTTTCTCCAGTAGATGGCATTCTGTATCTTACCATCAGGGAGAAAACAGATTTATAGAGGTTTGTGATTATTGTGAACTTCTGTTCTGATCTTTATATTGTTGGTTCTTTTCTAGTACATTACCAGTAGTTACTGTTCCCTAAGGCTTATTTCTCTTTTGACAATTTTGCTCACTACTGATTTTAGTCAACTTGGCTGTTTGACCTCATCCCTGCTTCTGTTACTGTTTTCTTTATTCTTTTGGTTACTACAGACTTAATATATTTCTTCTTTTACCTTGTTTCTTTTGCTCTTGCTCGTGATCATGGTGTCTTGTTTGAATGCTTGGTGTGAAGCAACTTTTTAAATAGATATAGGCAAGACTTTTAGTTGATAAAGAAAATCTGTTTCGGGGCAGCTGGGTGGCACAGTCAATAGAGCACCGGCCCTGGATTCAGGAGGACTTGAGTTCAAATCCGGCTTCAGATACATAACATTTACTAGCTGTGTGACCCTGGGCAAGTCACTTAACCCCATTGCCTAGGCCCCCCAAAAAATCTATTTCTGTACATATGCCTAAATTGTGTATTATTTTAAGAAGAAATTATAATTGAACTTGAAAGCAGTGCTAGTATGGTAACCTAGAATATGTCATATAGTTTAAAAATCATTAGAGCTAAGGATGTTAGATATTTTCACTCTTAGTTAGGAAAATGTAAATATTCAAAAAAGGATAGGTAACATTTTAATTGTATTACATATATATGAAAATATAATGTATAAAATTATTTGTGTTTGGTTATAACAAAAATTTTAAAGGAAGATTCAACACAGTTCTTTTCTTGGATCTACCATTCCACTTTAAGGTTTAGAAAGCATTTTTCTCACAGCAGCCCTGTGAAGTAGGTATTGCAAATATTGCCATCATCTCTATTTCATAAAAAAAAGAAACTGAGTTTCAGAAAAGTTGAGCTTCTTGCCCAATGTCAGACATCTGCCAGGTGGCAGAGAGTTACCCAAACTTCGATCTTCAAGTTTTCAAGTGCACCTTTCTTTATTCTTCTAAATGTCCCTGAACCAATGTCAATCATTGGCCCGGTAAATGACAACTTTTTACTGATGTACTGAAGTTTTACTCCTTAAAACTTGGAACACTGACTCTCCCTTCTCCCTGTGTCCTAGTACTTTTCCATATCGGGTCATAGTCTAGTTGCTGTACTGAGGCTGTAGATATTTTACTGGATTTGGATTGAGAAATACTGGCATAAACAATTTATTGAATTGCAGGATTTGGGACTAAAAGGTACCTTAGGGGTGGTGATGGTAAGATGTAGAGTGTTGTTATTCAACTATCTTATTTTGCAGATGTTATTTTTAGAGGTATGCTTCCCCAGATAATAAAAACCTTCTTCTAACTGAGCACTTTTACACATATTATCTAATTTTTCTTGAAATATGTTAAATAGATTATTATTATTCCTGTTTTACAGGTATAGAAATGAAAGTAAAGAATGAATGATTTAGATATACAGCCAAAGGCAGGGTTACACTAAAACTCAGGTCTCCTCAACTCTGTTCACCAGATCATGCTACTTCATTAGACATATAATGAAGATAAAACTTGTACTTATACAATGTGTTCCAAATAAAAAGTATTATTAGATTTGCTTATTAGTTTGATAAAAGTAATAGTTTCTACTGTAATTTTCATCTTTATTAATTTCAGGGCAGTAATGCTTTTGCATTCCATTTTGGAGCCTTTAATTTAAAATGTTTAAATGGTCATATATAATCAGAAAAAATTAAGCTCATTAGATCTTTGTAGAACCTTTAAAAAACCTTTAACTCTAAGCTATTGCAAATGAGCCCTGATTGTGAATTTGAAATATTTTCAAGTTACTTCAGAGTAATCTTTTTCTATCCATCATTCTTACTTTGGTATCAAATCTTATCTAAGATTTTCTCATCCAATTAGTGACTGATTAGTACTGCCCCCTCCTTTTATCTAATGTTAGCATCTATATTTAAGCAGTAGGTGGAATAAGAGTTATCATATTATTAACTCAATATTGAATTAATTAGGGTAGTGAGACCCTCAGTGCCCTTGGTTGTTGGATCACTTTGGCCTGACAATCAGTTTTGCTTGCCTTTATTTTTGTTGTTGCATAAAATCTCTTCTACTTCATTATTGGATTTCTTTTTCTTCTTCAGTGACAAAAGTAATAACTGGCCACGATTTCTAGATGCAGGTAGAAGATATTCAGGCATGGAGAACTACAAGTGAATTATAGACAAACAGATATTGAATTTTAACTAATTCTGCTTTTTAAAATCCAGTATCATTAATGAGTGATTTTTTTAAAGTCTTAACTATTGTAGAGACACTTATTTTAAGAAATGTCTTCTCATTATGGAAATGAGCTCTCTCTCTCTCTTTCTCTCTCTCTCTCCATAAATATGTATGTGTATATATATATATATATATAAAATATGTATTTTTTTTTTTAGGCAATCAGGGTTAAGTGACTTGCCCAGGGTCACACAGCTAGTAAGTGTCAAGTGTCTGAAGCCAGATTTGAACTCAGGTCCTCCTGATTCCAAGGCTGGTGCTATATCCACTGCACCACCTAGCTGCCTCCCAGTATTGCTTTCTTAACAGGATAAATTGTTTATTGTGTGTGTCACCTTGTTTTATTTCTTTTGGGACCAATGATTAATTATCAATCATTATACAAAGACAAAAAATAGCGAAATAGTCTCTGCCTGCAATAACTTTTATTCTGTTAGGGGATTCAATGTGTAAGCATTTAAACATATAAAAAAATAAATACAGTGAGATTTTGTGGGGAGATGTACTCACAGCTGGAGGGATTAGGAAGGGGTCCCCTTTAGAAAATGTTGTTTAACGTGAATTCTGAAGAAAACTAGGGGTTCTAAGAGTCAGAGGTGAGGAGGGGGAGGAGGAGGAGAATTATAGGAATGGAAGGCAGCCTATGCAAAGGCACAAAAGTGGGAGATGGAATATCGTGTGTGAGTAATAGCAAGGCCAGTGTGTGGCTGGACCATGGAGTGCATGAAGAGTAGTGAAGTGTCAGAAGAGGTAGTTTGGGGCCAGATTGTGAAAGGTTGTAAATGTCAGATAGAGATATATGTTTTTAAAATATATATTTGAGCCAAAGGGGATTTTATTGAGCAAGGGAATGATATGGTCAGATCGGTGCTTTAGGAATGTTAATAGAAGTTCCACTTTACTTCTTATACTGGAAACAACTTTATTATTATTATTGTTTTCAAATTCAAAAACTGCATTAATTATAGGTGCTTTGTACATAACCACCTTTACCCCTAACATCAAGATTTTTTAGGGATTGACCCAATAATGCATTTTTTTTGCTCTCACTTTTCTTTCTTTCAGCCTTTTGCTTTCTTTCTAATCCTCGGTCATTCTGTAACATAACACTGAACTAGGCAATAGGATCATAAGATTTAGAGCTTGAAGTGGCCTTGTAGGTATAAGTTGGAGTTATACTTCTATTAGTATTAATTCATGCAGTTTTGAAATGAATTAACCTTCTGCTCTTATGTATATTTGTAAGTTTCACATTATTTTGTGATTTTATTTGAATATTAAATGTTAGTGAACAAATCAGTTTTGGCATTATTTTCAGGCAATTCTTACATATGTTAATTGGTGAATGTTTCTGGGAGGTCCACAGTTCAATTCTCTATCGAAACATTACTTGATTGATTCTGTTTTCCACAGAGGCATAATTATCTTCAGTTATCTAGTGAAATGTCCGAATAATACCAACAGGGGGATATTAATAGTTCTTAATAATCTGGAATAGTTTGATATTAAAATAATTTTATTAATATAGAGCTTGTCTTTAGCTCTAAAGCTACTAAATCAAATGAGTGATTTTAGGGGCCCACAATGAATTCTTGCCTTTCCATAGAGCCATCAGAAAGATTGTATTAAATGTGTTTCCATTTAGAGTAAAACTGGAATGAATCGTCAGAGAACAACTTTTGGCAATTTTCATAACTAAATAGATTTAAGAGCTTAGTTTTTTGTTTGGAAATCCAATTCTCTGCCTCCGTTTCCTCATCTGTAAAGTGAAGGATTTGGATTAGGTTAAAAAAAGCTCCTTACTATCTTTAAGTCTGTGACCCTATGGCATTGTGCCTATTGGCACCTTAGGCATTGTTGAGAAATAAGTACAATTTTTTTGGCTTAGCTGTGTGATACTGTTCTTAGATTACAGTTATGTTTTACAAATAAAAATAGTAATTTCTTCATTTGTGTCCGTAAGTCCAGATTCCTATTCTAATAGTGACTAAGTTTTATATAATTTAACAAAAAATTATAAGCTAATGCCACAATGGTTATTTAAATGTCAGGCCAGAATCATGTGTATTAAAAGCTCTTTATTTGAGTTGAGTCATATGCACCTTGTCTTTTCCCATGTATCTTTTGTATAGCATGGTATATGTAATGTTGACATTGGATTGAGAAAATGGAACATTTAGCTGTGACTCAAGAACAAAACCTCAGCAGAATTTAATGACTTGCATGTTGGGAGTTTCCAATATGATGTCAAAAATTCTTTTTAGATCACCTATACGGTATAAATAGCACTTAAGAAAAATATCCTTTTAGTGAACAGAATTCTTTGTTGTTAAATAATAATAGAAAAGATATTTTATGACATTGCTCTGATGGAACCTATTTGTTATGAAAACTGACTTTAATACTCTAAAATTAAGGAAAAAAGAGATTGTTTGATGACAATCAAGAATTGGTTCTATAAATAATTTATTTTGTTCTTTTTTCTTTTTGTTGTTTTCACTTGAATCCGAGTTGGGGTGTGGCAAAGTCATATCACTGGCCATATGATTTTTAAAAAATTCATTAGAAAGTTTGTTCATGTAATTATTATCTTGAAGTAATGACATTCATCATGGT